TTTCAATTTGGTTTGATCTTGTGCCCCGTTCATGTGTTTGGGGCTTCACCCCATGAGCTATTTTGTGGTCAATTTGGAAAATGAGGAATGATATTATTTTTAATAAGGGGAAATTGGATTGCACTTTGCTATCTTTTCTCTCAAGGTACAGAGTGGCAGGATGGTTTTCTTCAAAATTTCCAAAATTGTTGGTCTCTTTCGATAGCCTGGTGGGGGATCTTGCGCTATATGATCGTGTTATGTTCACTGAAAAGAGGTCTCCAAAGGTAGCTAGTTGGTCTCCACCTCCTACTGGTTTTGTTAAAGTGAATGTAGAAGGTGCTATAGACAGGTAGTGGTCAAAGGGAGGCATTGGTGGGATGATCCGAGATGAGAAAGGAGTGATGATGGGTTCGTTCTCAGAAAGAGTGGGATTCGGTCCTATTATGGAAGAATTGATGACAATGAGGAGAGGATTGAATATGTTTTTGGATTCAGGGTTGTCGATGAACCGAAGGCTTATTTTGGAGTCCGATAGTGCGGTGGCAGTGGATTGGATAAAAAATCCAGCTAGCTCCACTCCAATGTTTCTATCCATTGTTAAAGATATTGCAGAGATTGTGGTTAATAAAAGGGTCATTGTTCGTCATGCGACGAGAGTAGTTAATTGTGAAACAGATGAATTTGCCAAACTAGGGATTGGTTAAATGGTGGGGAATTTTTTGGGTTGTTGATTTTGTATTATTGGTTTTAGCGGGCAGCTTTGGGCATGGTTTATGTTTGTATCTGGTTGAGTAATTTAGGAGGTAGCTTTTGTGTAGGGTAGTATCATATTCTTTTAGGTAGCGCTGTTTTGCACAGTGTTGAGTGGGCTGCCATAAGTTTTTTTTGGTGGTAGTGTGTGTGTGTTTTTATTGTTCTTTTGGTGGTAGTGTGTTCTTATTGTTCTTGGTTCTTATGCAAAAAAAAATTCTAAGGCACTATTTTCCTCCTTCCAATGTCCGTTGAGTCTTTGTTACTTGACGGTTATGAAGGGAGGTTTTAATGAGACATTCCTTTTTATAAAAAAAAACTAAAACCATCTGAATTTGCCCAATTAGCCATGCCATGCTAGATACAAGTTGCCATGATAATTTTTGCTCGTTTAAACTGAAGCCGAGCTAATATGCAGAATCTAATCAGTGTTGGGGCAAGGAAGTTTGGTATAATAGGCGTTCCACCAGTTGGGTGTTGCCCATCACAAAGGCTTTCAGCAAATGGTGAATGCGTGAAGGACTTGAACGACCAAGCCGAAGCTTTCTTTTCAACAATGAACACCCTAATGCGCAACTTGAGTTCAGAGAACAAGGACATCAAGTATTCTCTGGGAAATGCATATGCGATCACAAGAAAAGTTATTGATAACCCCCAAAAATTCAGTAAGCCTAGCCTTCTTTTCACTCTCCAATTACTGTCATACATGAAAGCAAATCAAATTATGAACCTATTGCTGGTAAATGATCTAATGATCTTCATTTTTCAAAATTTTCAAATCTCAGATTTTATAGATGTAAAAAATGCATGTTGTGGAAATGGCGCACTAAATGCAGAATCTTTTGCACTAGCTCAGCTAAGCTTTGCTCGAATCGTCAAAACTTGTTCTGGGATCTCCACCCCACAAGCTGCTTCAAAAATGGTAGCTTTTAAACTCTACACTGGTGAACCAGAATATGCAAGTCCTATCAACTTTTCCCAACTAGCAGAGGCATATTAATATAGAGTGCCTTAAATCTTAATAACTATAATAGTTTTCCCAGCTAAATTGCTCTCTGCAATTTATCTGCTTGTATCACATCATAAATAACGAGTCGGTTTAATTGTATAACCGAGCATTCTTGTAATTTTATCAAAAATATCTTATATATCTAAAATAGGCACGCTATGTATTCTTACGAGAAGAGAAGCAATGTTCTTGCATGCTGCTCAAGGGCTAAAACATCCACAGTCCCAATGATGATAATAAAAGAATAGCTAAGTTTAAAACGAAGGAATAATAGCAATCTGGCAAGGCTCACAACTCACAAGGCCATTACTCTCCCCGTATAAACGATCTATTGGTGTGTATAACACTCACACTTATATATGCCGAAAAACCTTATGTTCCAGTCTAATGTGAGATTGAAGTACTCTACCAAGCCCCGTATCTACATTGTAAAGAGGTATTTGGATATACATCGCAGGATTCATGATTGTGAAAAGAAATGTCTCTTAAAGTGAAGGCAATCAGGCAGAAATTGTCAAGAACAAGCATTTCAAAAATGCATGTTTAATGAAATTATCTTTAGGCTCCAATACCATTTATGCAAAGTCTATTATATCCTAAAGAGGAATATATTCTAAGTCCATAACTTGAGTTTGTTGCATCATATGCAAATGCATATGCACTGAATGGCTTAAACCCACTTCATAAGAACAAAATTGAGGCAATGTTCTTACCTAAAAATCAAATGTAACTCATTCCCAGATCACTACGATACTTCAGTCTCATGATGTAAGGAACAGTCTTGGTTTACTCATCCTTAAAATTAAAACAAGAACCAGTATTGATTTTTTTCAATGCGCCTAGTCACGAGTAAAAAATTACCCTTTAACTGAGAGATTATGTTATGGTATGATCGTTAAAAGAAAGAGTTAGTATGCACATTAACTTCGCTCAACTGGGAAAACGATGGGCATCATATTATTTGACAGAGAGAACCAAATCGTATTTAATGTAAGCATCTTAAATCATCCCCATACCAAAATGCTCCACATGCTTTATGATGTTCAGCATTTAACAAGTAAAACCTTAAAATATTTAATTAGATGCATGAGTCAATCACTACACTGTACGATAATATCATTTCATAGACTTACTGGAACCTCATTTCTTATTTAATCCATGTTCTAGTTGAACATGCAACTTCAACTTCTAATCTTCCAAAAGGCCATAAAAACCACGGAAAGAGCCATTCAGCAATATAGATGTAATATCCAAGAATTTATCATTTGTCCATGGAAAATCAGAAAGCAGCATCCTATAAAATTGAAAAGCATTCCAATGAACCGATCACATTGACCTAGATACCTAAAAACATCACTAAGTGGCAAGCTTCATTAGACCTTTGCAGTCATTGAAACAACTTCATTGAGGCATTGTAATGCTAATTCATCTCCACAAAAGCAATCATCTTCATCTAGATTCGTAGGGATATAGATTATAGACTTCCATGTAAATAAGGAATAACAATCAGTTGAGTAACAATAGGGGTTTAAAAAAATTGAATATCAATAGATAATTCAGAATAAAGCATAGCGTGATTTTAGTAAACATGCATATCGTGTGCATTTTTTTATTAATGTAAGGTAGACCTTCCACATGGCCTATCTTTGTGATTTAAATCAGTAGTTTATACAATACATGCCAAGGACTATTCTCTGCATGCACATCAGTGAATCTTTTCTGGCCCTTGACAAAACGTAAATAGAAAAGTGGGCAACAACTCATGGCTAAAACTAACTAAACAACAAACGTAAGATCCTGAACGGTAATTAATAGCAAGTATTATTGATCACTCGAGTTTTATTCAGTTTTAAGCACAAAGTAAATACTGCACATCGTAGGCCAGAAACCCATAAGTTTATAAACACAAAACTCGCCTGCTATTCTAGCCTGAGAAATTTTTTGCAGTGATCACTCAGCAACCTGCAAATGGAAAATGAGAATTACTTAAGCTATAGAAGCACTAGCAGATGTTCATTAATCATTGGTAGTGAACAAAACCTAAACAAACCAACATTTAAGATTATTTCAACTCAGCAGATGGCATGGACCCGGCATTAGTTCAAAATTGGCAATAAACTTGCCTGGTTTAGAGGATTATCAGGAGATTTCTTCCATAGTTTCCATATCATCCTTGTATGAGTGTGAGTAAGCCCCGTCTTTTCTTCTTTAAGCCTGGGAAGCTCAGCTTCTTCAAATGCCTACAATCATTCATTGAAATAATTCAGTATTATCTTCTAAATCTAATTAAGAGAGTATGAAAGTCCAGCAAAGCAATACGGAAGCGGGTATAATGAACCTTGAAGGAAGCCTTAAGCCGCCTCTCAGGATGGCGATCCGGGGGAAGGTTGTCCGCCACAGAAATTTGTGCAATCGCCTCCTCCACACTCCTTGCTTCAATCAACGAATCATCCCTGTTCGTGTTTGTTACTAACACCATCCTCTCATACTCTTCTTCCTCCGCAGTCCTACTCTGCCTCTTCTTCGCCTCCTCCGCTTTCTTCTCCATCTCTGCCTGCTGCTCATCCCTCCGCTTCTGCAGCTCCGCTTCCGTCAGCTTCGGCACGGGAATCGACACACGGTTTGCCTTCTTATCCGGTTTCTTCAACGCTTTGTCGATCTCCTTCTCCTCCATCTCGGCTTGACGGCGAGCCTCAGCCCGGCGAGCGGCGGCTTCAGCTCGTTTCTCAGCTTCTTCCTCGCGTTTCTTGGCTGCCTTGGATTTAGAACCCTCGGCTTCCCGCCAGTACTGCTCTTCTTTCTCCCGGGATTCTCGATCTTTCCGTTCGGCTTCGGCGTCGCTCTTGCGCGCACGCGCCGCCTCCGCTTTGCTGTTTACCCCCATCTTCTTCGGCATCTTGTAATATAAAATTGGGCGACGGCGTCACTGAAAATATTCGTTAGGAGGAATGGAGGATTAAGCTTTAGCAAAATACCAACAATAAAAAATGTAGCAGGCTGTTCGCTCGTAGGGAGTTTCTCGATTTCACAATTGTTTTTTTGGGTCCTAAATTTAATTTTAATTTAAATATTAAATACTTGATAGATCCCAAATAATTTTTTAATTATTCTACTTTCTCAAATAATTTACCTGGCCTATTGGGGAAAACCCCCCAAAAATGGATTAATTCTCTGATCCATACATAAAATGAATTTATTTCTAACAATACAGGCCCTCATCAATTGGCCTTTTGAGTTAGACCCATCGACCTATAAAGCTCTTTCCTTTGGGTTGAAAACTACTATATTCTTAATTCTCGGTCAAGTTGAACTTCGAAGCACCAGGAGAGAGAACCTCCCTTGAACCCTGGAAGACATGGAGAAGAAGCAGGAGCAACAAAGCGGCCATGAAAGTAAAAGAACCGAAAGAAAAGCTGCTTCTGTGAAGATAATCGGGAGCAGTTCAATCAATGGGGACGATGCTTCGAGCTTAGTTGGGAGCATAGTTGAAAAGGGAATTGTTTCAAACGATGATATTAGTAAACCCATTCAACCGCCTCGCCTCTCAGTGCTTCCTTTCCCCGTTGCAAGCCACCGCTCTCATGGTCCTGTAAGCCACCGCCGAATTCCCTCTTTTCTTATTTTATTTGTTAAGTTGCTATTCTTTTAAGTTGCTTGAATTCAACAAATTTTGAACATTTATAGTTATATGCGAACACCTTTATGCTATGCATTTTTTGTATTGTTTCTTTTAGGATATATAGATCGCCGTTACATATAACACGAAAGGGGAGCTCTGTAAGACTGTAACTAGTTTGGGAAGTTCAGTTGTTTCTGTAATTCATTGTTATTTGATTACTACAATTTACCCTGTAAGGTTGTTGCTTGAAGGAGATGGCAAATCCATAAGTTTAAAGCCTTGAAAACATGGGTTCGGAGGTGCAATCAAGTGATACTAATATAAAACATGTTCCTTTTCAGTTGTCTTCCTTCCTCTTATAATTGTTGATTGAAGTAATTAACTGGGTTTTTTTGTTCAAAGCGGAAGCTGCTTGAACTGATATCTGGATTTGTTTTAACAGCATTGGACACCAAGAAGCAATAATAGGGATATTGTTGAAGAAGATGATGAATATGAAAGTGAATTTGCTAGCTTCGATCCCATTTCAGTTTTTGCTAAACCAGTGCAGAGGAAAGAGAAAAAGAATTTGGATCTTAGTCGTTGGAAAGAGGCAATGCAGAGTGATGATTTTTCCATGAGAAAGGGAATGGAAGCAAACAAATCAGTTGTTGGGAAAACTGAAAGAAAAAAGATGGATGGAGAAGCCTTGGCTGCAAATGCAGATATAGCCTGTAACACCCCAACCCGTATCCGACCCGGATACGAGTCCGAGGTGTCACATTGACTTTTCAAACTTTGACTCTTGACAAATTCAAAGAAAACTTAAAACTTTCCTTAGAGTATAAGCAGTTTAGTTACGTAATTTGACCACAATAACCAAAATCGATCAGAGCATATTTAACTCAATCAATTAGTACATGTCAACTATATTCAAAATAACAAAAAATCATTTAATTTATCTATTTTCTGATCTGAAATCTTGTAAGGGAGATGCTGACCTGTATTACTCTTCTTCTCTTCTCTTCTTGCCTCTGTACCCTACGTGTGAAACAATCACACGCTAAGTTGAAGACTTAGTGAGGCATAAAAACTTATAATGCACTTTATAACATATATCAATACATGCATGTTCTGTTCTATCATGTTATACCAAATTAATGATTTCCTCGTATCATATAAAATCATATTAGATTAATTACAGTAAATACATACATACACATAACTCATCATTAACAGTTTATCATGTAATCACATACTTTTATGCTTAACCTTTTCAATCAAACACTATATATACACAACATCATATCATTTCTATAACATTTATCATATCACTAACATATATTTGTTTATATCTCTTGATTAGCCCATGTACATATGTGAGAACTATAGATATATGAGTTTATGGAGGTTGTGCACTAATGCTGTCACCACAGCTCATATAAATGCACTGAAGTGCCACATAGAATTGCACCGTAGTGCCGCGTAGAATTGCACCGTAGTGCCGCGTAGAATTGCATCGTAGTGCCATATAATAATGTTCATAAGGACCACATATCATTCCTTAAGAATCATATACATATACTAAGATCAAGTATGTGTCTCACCAGACTTCACACATATTCCAAAGAATGCATATATGTCCCGAAGGACCACATATCATTCCTTAAGAATCATATACATATGCCAAGGATCAAGTATGTGTCTCACCAGACTTCACACATGTTCCAAAGAATACATATATATCCCGAAGGACCACATAGACCCTCGACTCTTGGCATGCCAACTATACACCTAGCTCTCAAGACACATAACATGGGCATTTTCTTTTATACTTATCATTTCACATAACACATAGTTCAATTACTCATAGAACATTTTCGTATGAGTCACATTTACATGTCACATAGCTTATATACTTTCTCACGTAGTTACATAGATCCATATCATATAACATATATCCCAAAGTGCACATAATCACATATATCATATCATATAGCTTAGATCATTTCTCAGATATTCATATAAACATACATATCATATCTTGTTCACATAGAAACACTTTCTCATAGCTTATATCAATTTTCAGAGTCCTTTCATATTACCTGATGACATATATCATATAGATATATAATAACGGATATCATATTATCTACCTTATGCTCCATTTCTTTGTATTCCCTTAGATTATAAATTATGTATTTCTAAACAATATCATTTAATAGTATTTTTATTTAGGTACTAATTTAATCTCTTTACTTAATTCAATTTCATATATTCATTATAATCTTTTCATATAGCTCCATTATACTAATTCTCATAATAAATCATACCACTATGTACTTGTCCAACTCATGTTTCCATTATACATATACTGTTACCCATGTTTACCTAGTTCATATCACTTCTTATAAACTCACTTTCATCATATTTTCCTATTATTACATATTTTATCTCATAATCATGTATCCACATAGTCTATTTCATTATCATATTACATATTTGTTCTCCTATGACTCTTAATAAACATCTATTTCTATTTCCCTACATCTCTCGACTTATCTTCTATATTTCTATAATTTCATAACTTATTTTATATCATTTTCCCTTTTCACTCACATAAACCATCTATTTATTTAGTTCAATTTCTCATGACTTCCACAATACTCTTTAATAAAACTTTGTAGCTCTTCACTTTAATACATAAACCATAGTTTCCTTTAATTTATCAATCTTCTCTATATAACTTATGTATCCTTATTTATGCCCTCGAATTCATACTATTCTCTTAGAGTCTCCTAACATTTCTCGTATAATCACTTATACCATATCATATGACTTATACTTGATTATCTTATTCTCTCATGTTCATTTCATTTCTTATAACTCTATCATATAACTTATTCCATGTTCTTCCATTATTACATAATAAAATCTTACATAAATCATATAGCATATACAAAGCATATTATTATCTTTAGTCATGTATACATACAATCAATGTAATACATATAATCACATATAGTTATAACCAACATATAATCATGTCTATGACTTCATGCATATTACTCTAGGAAATAGACTCATCGCAAGTCTTACTTCCATTAAACACTACATGTCACTAGTATGCACTCACCTTGGCCTCACTAGTCAATTTCAATCTCTTATCTTTCCCTTGATCGATCTTACTTGCCAAATGTTCCGGAATTGTTTTACGCGCAGAATCTACATAAATGTACATTTTGAGGCAATCATTAGATACCTACACCTTGTAATTAGATACTAGCAACTTAAACGAACTTATTAAACTCATATTCACAATTTTCCTTTAGGGGGAATCGGTTCCCTCCTGTGGGGGTATCGGTTCCCCTCTGGCATTCTGGAATTCCATGTTCATTTGAGGGGTATCGGTTCCCCTTGAATGGGTACCAATTCCCCTTGCCCAGAAATCACATTTTTGAGCTCGAAATTCACTTCATTTCAGCTTAAACCTTCATATTTTACTTCCTTTAATATTCATAACTTCCATACATATATTTAAACTCATTTTTATTCCATAATCACTTCTTTAAACCCAAAATTTCATCATTTACATGGCATTCAAGAATCACACTAAATTTTCAATGTGTTCTAATTCCAATTCTAACACTTCATACTTCTTAATTAGATTGATGACAAGTCAAATTCATCCATAAAACTTCAACAACCATACCATATCAAAATTTCATCTTAAAACTCATATTACAAATTCCTTCTTAATTCCTTTATCTTATTGTTTAAATCCCATATAAGCTTTCCTTAAGCTTATTTAATACCCAAAGAATCAAAACTAAGCTTAAAACTCAAGAATTAACCAACTGAAATTAAACTTACTTTTGCCATGGAGCTTACGGGAAGAGAGGAGGAAGGAGATGACTCAGCTCCAAAACTTTTTTTTCTTCTCACCCTTTCCACGTTTTTATCACCTTAAAAGAAATATAAAAATCTTTCTGGTCAAATGACCATTTTACCCTTAATTTCCTTTAATAATTACTAAATAACCTTCAACATATATTTCCAATAATCATTAAATTATTTCATTCTTCTACGTTAGTCACCAAATTCTGAAACTTTTCAATTTAGTCACTAACCCGGTATTGTGGATGTTACAAATCTCCCCTCCTTTTAAAGAAAATTCGCCCTCGAATTTTCACTGAACATTTTGATAAAACATATCTTCTAATGTTCTCATGTGGCTTCATTTACTTACTCTTTCTTGTCATTATCAAGAAACGTACTTTTCAATCCTTTAACTTTTCAATTATCTTTTTCCTTTCTACATTCATATTATGTCACTTATCACTTAAACAACAACCAGTAACTTCAATCTACTTTCATCAATCAACATCATAAATCCATCTTTAACTACCTTATAATAATAACCAAATTCGTTTTCCATCATCATTTAATCAAGAACACGACCTTAAATCTTCTTTAAATGTGATTCAACATACACTTTATAAAATCTTTTCACCTCACCAATCCCTCTTTTCTCACTTGTATATCCAAAATTATCACCTACACTTCCATATAACCTTTATCGTGTCTGATCCTTTAACTCAATCCCATTTCATTTCTTTATTCCATTCTTCCTTTATTTATTCCTTATACACAAATCATATCTTTCCTTTCATGTTCACATGCTCTTGTCTTATCACCTATATTAATCGCTATATACCAATCTTCATTGCATCCTCATAACTTTGATAACCTATTTCTTATACAGAACTTGTTATTTCTTATACTTGTATTTTCATTTCTTAAAATTCCATGCAAATACTTATCTCCTTTTCTACATCATAGCTATCTGATCAGAACCCAACTATATTCAGATTCACATAATAATTGATTAACTCAACTTTACCTTTTAATCCAATCTTATAACTCTATCACTTTTACTCTGACAGTTAATCAATAACATTTGTCCAATCTAGAACACAACCCTAATCAACCAATCACATACATCCTTTCCAATCGAAATTATCTCAAAATTCGTTTACTTAACTTGTCAATTTCACCTCCATTCTCATACATCCTATAATTTCCATTGTTCAACTGAACATTCTGACTTACTTTGTCTTATAAACTGATCATCGATATACCCATTCCTAAACTCTTCTTATCAATCCTCAGATTTACTCAAATACACAAATCCTTATTCCCTTTACTATACAACAGTACTATGATCCAAATATACAATTGTATCCAGATCCATTTCATATTTGGTTGTCTTATCATAACAACATCTCAAAATATTAAATTCTATACCTTTTCCATCACATAATCTGGTTAGTCAACGCTAACTCTTTTCATCTAGAATGCAAACCCTTATTATAGCCACACTCTTGCTTATACACAATATTATCCCTTTGTCTTAAATTCATAAACTCTATCTCCATATCTCTTATACACTTGTCACTGATGCATCTATTCTTGAATTCTTATACAAATACTTACCACATCCTTTGATCTTTTTAACAATCTTATAGTGACACTTGTTCACCATATTCTATCTTATCCACATAATAACAAAACTACTCTATATCGTGTTTCTGATTCAAAACAATGAAAACTTTCTATCATTATTCAGATATGATTTCAGCTTTCTGAAATCAACTTTTGATCTTACTAGGCATTTCCTGAGGTGTCCTCTCTTTATCCTGCCTGGCCAGGGCAGGTGAATAGCTATCACAAT